CCATAATTGGTTCTTAGTATACTGCACCAATAGCAAATTAGTCTTAAAATTTAAACTTTATTTATATTGAATCAAAAGATTTTTTCTCAAAATATTAATATCGTCAAGAGTAGTAATTTAAGACCTTAGATAATTATATATTAGCTATTGTTTACATATTTAAGTGACACGGGCTTTTCACAATTAATAATATTTTGGTCATTTAAGAACACCGATTATAGAATCTTGTTGCTTTGAGCATTAAAAGATTTAAATTACTCGTCTGTTATAAAATTCGAAGTTTCATTTCAAAATGTCAACATTTTTTCAAAAGGATCATTGGTTATTAATTTTGTCTATATTTTAAGAAGAATTTATCTTTTAACATATCATACAAGATGGTGTTTCGTTTGAGCATACTGATCGTAAAATTAGATAGCTGTGTCGGAATTTTAGACACCAAAAATTGTTTGTCTGAATTTAATGAGCTTTGATCGGGCATTTTTAAAGGTCCAAGTAATTAATTATTAATATAAAATTTCACAAAAATTCAATAATGTATTTGACACCTCAAAAATTTAGTTCAAAGATCTGTGCGTGTCGGTCCATTGATGCGAACCTTCTTTCCACCCTGACTCCACTTCTCCCATTGGACACTTCATTTGGCCCCATTCTCCATATTATTCTCCTTTTTTCCTAGTAACTCCACTTCTTGATTCTTTATAAGCAAGTTAATTTTCCATACTTTAATTCTATATCCTTCTTTCCTCCAGCAAAAAATGGGATTTCTCTCATGCCCTTTACCTTGCCAATCGATTAAACAAGATCCTTATCAACTACAACACGATCAGGACCATTTTCGCTCCGATGATTCTTTGTCTTCTAATTCCTCGATTTCTTCGCAATTAAGCTTACCGTCGGTTCCTTCTCTAACACCACCTGTTGAAAAGTCCCCCTCCGCCACCAACCACCAATGCCTAGCCACCCTCAAAGGCCATTCCTCCTATGTTTTCTCCCTAGCTCTCGCCGGAAAACACCTCTTCAGCGGCTCATCCAACAGCGAAATTCGGCTATGGGACCGAGATGCCTCTTCCTCCAGCAACCAAAGTTTGTCCCGTCATAACATAGTCGCAAAAGGCTATAGTACTGTAAAATCTATAGTAGTCTTGGGAGATAAATTGTTCACCGCACACCAAGATCACAAAATACGCGTATGGAAAATCAATGATGAACCCACCCCATCTCACCAAGAATCCAGTACTGTGTACCAAACACACCTCAGATGTATCGCAACTTTACCAACGGTAAACGACCGATGCATGAAGCTTTTTTCTGCCAAGAACTATGTACAAGTACGTAGACACAAAAAATGCACTTGGGTACATCATGTTGATACAGTATCAGCACTGGCCTTATCAAGAAATGGTTCGTTACTCTATTCAGTTTCATGGGACAGAACATTCAAAGTATGGCGAACCTCGGATTTCAAATGCCTAGAATCAGTGTGGAATGCACATGATGATGCAATAAATGCCATAGTATTGTCCGATGAAGGCTATGTCTATACTGGTTCAGCAGACAGGAAGATAAAAGTGTGGAAAAAGCATGAAGGAAATAAGAAACACTCTCTAGTTGCTACACTAGAGAAACACAAGTCAGCTGTAAATGCTTTAGCAATAAGCACCGATGGCGCGGTTTTATACTCCGGCGCCTGCGATCGGTCGATAATCGTTTGGGAAAAGAAGGACGGTGGCGGTGGTAGTGATCATATGGTGGTGGCAGGGGCACTTAGAGGGCATACTAAGGCCATATTGTGCTTGGCTGTTGTCTCAGATTTGTTGTGCAGTGGATCAGCAGATAAAACAGTTAGAATTTGGAAGGGAGGAATTGGAAAGAGTTATTCTTGTTTAGCAGTTTTTGAAGGACATAGGGGACCTGTCAAATGTTTGACAGCATCTGTTGATAGTAAAAATGCTAAGGATGTTACAGAATATGGGACTTCTTATCTGATTTACAGTGGCAGTTTGGATTTTGATATAAAGATTTGGCAAATTTGGGTACCCAACTTTTAGATTTTACCATACTTTGTTCACATTTTTGTTTTTATTTTATGAAAGTCTCTTTTGTACATAGGAAGAGGATATAATATTTGTTTTATTTTAGTGTTCGTGTGTTCTTTCCTTTTTTGTTTGGAAGAAAAAAATACATGGAATGAAATATTTGAGCAAAGAATTCTTTGTAGTACAATAGAAGTGTGGAAGAATCAACATTTTCTTGTGTTGATTCTTGAATTTTGAGAGATAAATTGATTACGAGCCATTCAAGAGTATTGAAAAAGAACTTAAGCTATAGACTTAAATTACGACTGCTACTCGCTACCAAATTGAACCATTATACTTGGCGACTATCGACACCAACTCATCAAGGGCTCATGAAAGAACATAATTTTTGTATGATGAAGCTTATAATGGCACTTTTTGTGGCCTTTTCAATTATAAGTTGGAAAATCACAGCAACAGTTCTCCAACCTTTATTGTGTAATGGTTTAAACTTATCCAACTTGATCAAATATAAGAATAGATGATCAATTATTAGGCTTTAACACTACAAATTGATGATTCTAATAACTTGTACAAGTCATGCAGAACACGCGTTAATAAAAATTTACTAAAAAGAGGCGGTATAAGAATAGAGCGACAAAAGCCGAGAATCAACAAACTATAATTAGTGAGCAAAAACTTTGGTAAAATCTGAAAAGATTGTGAGTTCATATTCATATTTTGCATAAAAAAACCAAGCAGACTATGCTTTTGAATCATTCAAATGACATTAATTCTTTGTAATCCACCATCTTCAGTTCCCTGCCAACCAGACAAACTAAATTAAACACATTATACTTTTTAACAGTTTAATGCCGACATAAAAACCCGTAGCTCGTATTTAGTAGGGATTAAAAGCTAAATTTTAATTTAAATCAAAGTTAAAAATTAATTTTAATTACAATCTTTTATGAAATTCATAACTTTTCAACCGTACATTTCATCAAAATCTACTAAAAAGTTTGATTTTAATCCTCACTAAACCAGGGTTAATTATTGAGATTTTTAATATTGTAAATTATAGGGTTTAGGGTCACAAAGAAAAATGATCTAAATTCATTAACCTACGCCTTCGTCATTTATCTCTGTCTAAGAATGGCTAAGAAAAGTTCTCGAAGTTTAACTGAGAAAATATTTCGAAAAAGACGACAAAAAATATTATAGATTTTTTTTTTTTTTTGACGTAATTCAAGTTAGTTGCAATTTGTTTGTTTGCTCAAGACAACATGACAATGACTAAATATATTTAATTAAACTAATGCTGGTTTTCAGAACTTTAAGGTTTTGATTTGCTTAATTAATTAAAGCGGGTAGGTTATGTTAGGCTAAAAGTTATACTTACAACCTTCATTTTCCTTACTAATCGAGATGGAACTTTGGGAGACAAGGAACAACTTTCTTCTTATTCTATATAAAGATAATTAAGATCCAATAAGATAAATTATAAAGAATAAATTGCGATAAGTGAAAATACATTATAGCTTAATTAGAATATAACTCGAAATAATGTTGTTTATATTAATATATTATTATCTTTCTCTCGACCGTTCATTTTGTATATATATGTGCGTGTGTGTGTTGGCCAATTCATATGATAAAAATTATTCTTGTTTGGGATAGTATATGTAAAATGTTGTTTAAAAGTATGACATTTTAAGATGGACCTCATAATTTTAATAAGAATCACGAAATTTTTCGTCGTAACTATTTAGTTTTTTTTTTTTTTTTTCCGAATTACTGATAGAATTCTATGGAAAATTCTTAAAACGTTAAATTTTCTCGAGACAATTCATCAAATAAATAAATAAATATATTATTTTTCGCATTATTATTTTATTACCAACATGTTCCTGTCATCAATATTGATTATTTTTTATATTTATTACTTTATTTACCACTGGATTTTTTCTTAAGTAAAAATTCTGTAGGTGACTCGAGACATATTTTTCTAACATGATTTAATTTATTTATTTTTTGGTTTAGCTGCACTTTATTTCATAGCATATGTCAGTTTAAGAAAACATAATCATAGGTAATTAATCTTTAATAAAACTAATGCAGGTTTTCAGAGCTTTAAAGATTTGATTTGCTTAATTAATTTAAGTGAGTAGGAAGTTAGGCTAAAAGTAATATAAAAACCTTCATTAATTTACATAAAAATGCTTTATGTTTCTACATTTCTTTACGACTTTGTAGATTTATTAATCATGGTTGCCGAAAGTAACAAATCAAGATTTATTCTCAATAAATTTGAAATTTCATAACATGATTTTATTTTTTAAAATTCACGTTATAAATAACTGATGTTTATTTGGTCCCGCCTTTTTTACTTTCGGCACTACTAGATTGAAAGTCATGTTAAGTTGAGCTCAAAACTAAACCCTGTTTGGTTTAGTAAAATTTCATTTCCAATACAAAAGCTAAATTCTCTCGACTACATGAATTAAGATAGTGATTTGTTTGATGTGTCAGGACATCTATCTCTTGAATGATGAAAAAGAATGAACACACTCAAATTATTTTTTTCTGAAAGTATAAAAATGAATTAGTTATTATTATTGTTATGAAGGTGAATTGTTGCACGTAAAGATTTGTTGAAACTCGACAACATGAAAAATATTTATTTTTTCATATTTTTCTTTAAATTATATCTAAGAAATATGAAAAAGCGACAGGGCCCATGGACCGTTCTGTGCTACCCTTAGATGGTTTTGATGATCCAAACCCACCAGTGGGCCCTGACGCTCTACCATTGGTCGAGGCCCAAGAGAGCATTTCTAGTCCGGCCCAATGAGACCTCGCCAACCCATTCTGTGATTGTACAATCTGTAATAGGCTTGGCCCAATTGACATTTATCGGGACAATTCCAGAATGGCCCAAATTTGTGAGTATATAAGTAGTTTTTACATCTTTGTACAACTCTGTTTAATTTCGCTAATAATTTCTTGCGCACTGGTATGTTTCCTTTGTATCTTACATATCCATAATTTTTTTTCAATTATTCCAGTTGATTTACGTAATATCTCTATATTTAAATTCTTAATTTCGCTTAAATTTTGCGGATTTCTTGATCTGAATGAATTGAAACGCTTTGATTTTGATCTGCCCGCATCCTTTTGAATCGGTATATGAATCTTGATACTTATAATGGTTTTTATCAGCTCTGATTGCTATTTGTTTTACGGATTTGATAAATTCTTAGTTCGCCCAAAGTTTGCACCTTTATTAGATTTGAGAAAAAGAATTAAGCGAGCAGATCAATGCTTGATTTGAATTTCTTGTAAAATTCAATTTATTTAAACATTATTGGATTTGAAAGTGTCTTTCATAAGATAATTGAATAATTATATTATGCCCACTAATTTACTCTGGTTCATCATTGTGATATTTGATGCTTCTGAAAAGAAATCTAATTGTATATAATCAGTTTAGTTTGTGCAACTCTGTAGATTCTGAATAATTTTTGTCTTATTAACTTAATTTTGGATATTTTGATTTGTATTTTAAACTTTGCAGATTGTTAGAAAGCAAGATTTAATTTTAAAAAAAATAAAAATTGAATAAGAAATGGCTGACCAGAAGAAGAAGCAATTCACCAAGGTCAACCAGCTGCGCCCGTTAGACACTGGGCTTAATTTAACTGTGAAGGTTGTCAATGCAAAGATGATAGCACCTAGAGGTCGTGCTCAAGGACGCCTTGCTGAATGCTTGGTGGGTGATGAAACGGGAATTATTATTTTTACCGCCAGGAATGATCAAGGTTGGTTCTTCTTCTTTCCAGAATGGCAAATAGTTACTTTTTACTGCATTATCTTTGTAAGTTTATCTGATTGATGTTTAAAAAGGCTGGGTACTGATGCGTTTTATGTCCGTTGGACGAGGCATAAGCCACGAGGTTGTGTATGTCTCAAGATAGAAAAAGAAAAGAATATAAAAGTACAAATTTCTGTTCTTAATAAATCATATCGACTTAAAAAATTCAATAATAAAACTAATCGACAAATTTGGTAATAATTAATTCTCTTATTAGTAATCACGTGACAAAATTATAATCTATTCTTATAAGTGGAGACAAACAACTGAAGAAATTTTTATATCATCATTACTAATATGATCTTTTAGGGAATAGTTAATATCGCTGTAATTGTCCTCATTATAAGTATGTTTTCATTCTTTGATTGCAATGGTCCATTCTCTTTCATTTTCCTCCATCTATATAGAAAAAAGAAATTGAAAGAACCCGTAAAACATTTTAAGTTATAAAGAAATAACTTAGAAGGTTAATGTCAATTATTAAATGTTTGAAAAATGCAATTCAAAATGGCGGACATCTTAGTTGGCCTGATTCTTAGGCTCGATTAGTAAGCCTTACAAATGGCATTTAAGGTGCAGGGTTTGAGTTTCTTTATTATTGTGGAATATTTTGGTAGACTATGATTAGTTTCCAAATAATGAGATTAGGATAATTAGCATTTCAATCTCCAAGATTTTTTCTATTTTCCTAATTGGTTAGTTTTCTATGTTTAGTCTTCCTTGATTTAAGGAGTTTGATAAACCTAATTGATGGTTTCCCTTCCTATTTATTACTGTAATCTTTGCGTATTCCATAATAGAAAATAAGAAGAATTTTCTCTCATTTTTCTTCATGGTATCAGAACCCAATAAGTTCCAACGAACTATTCGATCCGATTAAGTCTAAAAAATGAGTATACGGATTTCAATATTGGTCTGCTAAAAAAGAGCCACCATCTTGCGAGGACATGTTAAGGGAATAAATCCCACATCAGTTAAATACCGAAATATTGACCAATTTAAATAGATGTTGGGTCATTCCTCTTAATAAGGTTGACCTTATTAAGATGGACCCCAAATCTTAACAATTATAGAATAGGATTCGAGGCATAAGTCTCGAATTGTTTTTTAAAACCATGTATCTGATATCAGAATTTGCTTGATAATGCAGTTGTATTACGATGGCAATTATTTTCCTCAATTTTAATTAAGCTTGAATTGTGCCTTCATTTTGTAGGTGTACTGAGCTTTTCAATTTGTTTCTCTTTATTTTCTTTCTTTAGTCGTTTTTTAATGAATGTTTTGGGCTTGGCTGTTTCTTATAAGAAAAGCACGACAGTAATAATCTAGGTCCTTTTGTCTCACACTCACCAGAGAACAAAAACTCACACAAGAATACAAGTATGAATGTGTGCATATGTTATCTCTAAAGCTTATTGCTGGCCTTGTTGATTGATATGTGTTCACCAAAATTTCTCATTAGACTTAACTGACCTCATTTTATATGTAGACCGGATATTCACCCGACAATATGGTTTGGTTATCTTGGAAAAGTTACTTCATTGGGATATGGTTATACGGCATTTGTCTCGCCCTGTAATTCCCCATCAACTGAAGACCATCAAATGCTGTCCATTTGTGCACTTTGTTTCGACTTACGAGTTTCTTGATCCTTTGATAGCTGTTCATTTCTATTATTATATTCCTGTAGTTGAGACTTGGAGTTCCTTCATCCCTTCGATGGGATTGTGTTGCTGGGCATTGAATAGATATTGGCTTGTGATGTCTTGACTCTTTCGTTGGATGCTGATATTCTAGTTTCCTATGGTTGTTTCAATTTGTTGTAAAATGTGTGTTGTGCTTCTGTTCTAACTTTATTAGTTTGAATGCTTTTATGCTGACGAACTGCCTTTATCTCCAGTGGACTTAGTGAAAGACGGCAACACCCTTGTCCTGTCAAACGCGAAAATTGACATGTTTAAGGGATCAATGAGGCTTGCAGTCGACAGATCTGGCCGCGTTGAAGTTAGCGAGTCTGCTAGTCTCTCAGTGAAAGAGGATGTCAATATGTCATTGATTGAATTTGAGCGTATTGATGTTGTGGTTTGAGGCTGCTTAGAATTAGGCATGTTTTCAGACAGACTGTTGTTGCTTTCAACATGTTTTATTTGAACACTTTTTAAGGATTATAACTTTTATCATCGTAGGAGAACCAAACTCACCTATCTTTGTCTGATAATATGTCTACAGCAGTAACTTTGTTTTTTTCAGGACCTGTAAAAGTTCACAATTTGACTGATATCTTCAAGTTTTGTTGTTTATTACATTGATTTACTTCTTGTTGTGCAATATCTAATTCTATTCTTCCTTATCATAGTCCTAAATTCTTCTGAGGCAAAAGTTGCAAAGGGGACACCAGATAGATGACCATGGGTCAATGCATTGTGTATAGAGTGACAAGCTCCAAATGTTAACCATAGAACACTAAAAAATCTAGTTCCAACTTTTAAATGCTGCAATGTGATGCTTAAATTAACATTGCATTTTACATAATGGCGATTTTGCTTTGCAATTTTACTCATACTGTTGTACACAAACAAGGAAATCTACTTTCCTCCAAACCCGCCCCCAGAAAAGGGGTAAACTAAAGTAAGTTACGCATGCCTGCATTCCTGCACATATCTAACTTATCGAAGCTAAAGCAGAAGCCTTGAGCGCCAGGTTTACTGAATCTTAATTTTCCCTTTTGGACGCCGACAGTCATGCTGGAACTCCCGAATGAATGGACGGTGCATTACTGCTTTTACTGAAACCTGCTAAGGGAATGAATTTGCATCTTCATTAAAATGCCAATGCTGTGCTTCATGAAAAAAGGAAGACCAGTGATTAACATACCTCTCTTCTTAAGCTTATTTCGGAAGCTCCTTTTCCTGCTAAAAGCCTTCTCCTGCAGCAATATAAGAATATGCTGATGAACATTTAATGGATAACTCTTTTATTTAAATATACAAGTTAATGTGTGTTGATATTTATCAGGAGGAAAACACAGCACTAATAACTTGATATCAGAATAAAAAATTTGTTCGTGAAAAATTCAAGTTCAATATATTACCATGGTCAGACCAAGCTTCTCTGCCTGACGAACTGCAGAAACGAGTTCATGGTTTGCTTCTGTATACAGGCTGGTAACAAGGCCAGGTTGACCTGCTCTAGCTGTACGACCCACTCTATGCAAAAAATCTACGGCAGACGAAGCAAATTCTGCCTGGAACAAAAACCAAGATAGCTATTAGATTTAACTGAACTCATCCATATTAAGATAAATATGGAGAACAAGATGACAAGAAGATCTTCATGTAATCTGATTATTTTAAGTCAAGGAAATGCTAAACTCCTGTTTAATTCAATGCAAATGAGCACTGGATATGGGCAATATTCAATTTCTCACAAAATAGATGATTTATTTATCAGGTTTGTAGATATTCCAGTCTGATCTCTTACTGTTAGATTATGTGAAGTGACACTGTTGTTCAACCGAGCTGATTCATGGAGAAAAACCTAATATTTATATTCCAAACGTTAAAAATATTTAATCAAACCGAGAAAGCATAATTAATAAAAAGAACATAAGAAATTTACTAAAGATGAGTGGTGGAAAGGAAACAAGCAATAAAGAGATGAGTAAGTTAGCAGCATAACCAATTTCATGACCAGTGACAGACACACATATTGAGTTAGGCGGGCATAATACAGATTGAATGCTTTGGTCTTAATTCTTGAATGATTCATATTTGACCCGGAAAAACGCAGATTTACGTTTAAAGAATATTCCTTCATTAAACACACTAAACTTGGGGTCAACTATGTAAGAAAAAAACTTTGCCCTACATGGGATTGAGTACTCAATCTGCTGAAGCTTCAAAGATATTAAATATGTCGCAACCAAACCAGGTTATATTAATTTTGGTCTATATCTCCCTCTCTAATCTGTTGTAATAGGATGATGCCACTCATTGGAATGAAAAAGAGAAAGGAGGCAGACAGGTAAGAAGCTCGACCGCATAAGGGGAGTGAACTGAAAAAGTCAAGCTTTTCAGAGCACTGATCTTCCGTCTCTCTCTCTCTCTCTCTCTCTCTCTCTCTCTCTCTCTCTCTCTATATATATATATATATATATATATATATATATATATATATATAGACACACACACATATATACATACATATAAAAGGCCAGCAGGAAGCGCGAAGAACTAAGCCACTAATGTCTGGCGAAGGTTATATCTCATAAGAGAAGCTAAGGTTTTGTTATAGCTTATACTCTCTCTCTCTCTCTCTCTCTCTATATATATATATATATTAAAAAAAGGCCAGCGGGAAGCGCGAAGAACTAAGCCACTAATGTCTGGCGAAGGTTATATCTCATAAGAGAAGCTAAGGTTTCGTTATATCTTATATTCTCTTCCTTAGGACTACATAAGACACGTCTCAACTACATATATCATCCTTTACATGATTGTTCATGATGCTACAGCAATACATCGATGTAGATTCTTGTTCTTATCAAAGAATTAAAAGTCAACTAACCATAAATAGCCATCTTAAGGAGATAAAACTAAAAAGAGTGACAGGGATGCTGAGTGAAAATATTATGGTTTTCTAAACTTCTGCACATAATTGGCAGAAGTCAGACGCTAAATTATATCTCTGTGCATGACTCACAATTCAGACTCATAGAATTGCAGGTGTGCTTTATAATCAAAAGTGTAAAGATCAAAATGATTGAACCAGTAAGAAGAGAAGTACCTGAATAACATGTGACACATGTGGGATATCAAGTCCACGAGAGGCAGCATCCGTGCACACAAAAACGCCACCTTTCTGCTGGAAACCAACAAGATTCCTGGTACGCTCTTCTGGTGAGACATCACTATGGAAACGGGAACATTCAACTCCAGCTCCCATCAAGATCTTAGCAACAGCTTCAACAGCCTCAACAGTGTTTGCAAACACCATGGTTCTAACTATTCCAGAACTAGAATCCACGGAAGAATTCAGTCCATCATTAACAGCATTTATGAGAGCATCCACCTGACTATCGGTTGTAACTTCAATCCACCTTTGTTCCAACCTGAAACATGTAAAAGGAATCCAATCCATTACATGAATAAATACATGATGGTATGTTATTACAAGATAATATCAATGTCCAAATCAGACAAAAATAACTAAACTAACGAACTTGAACTTTGTATTTATACCACTGAGAGTAACCAAAATAATTTCAAGTAGAGCGATAACTGAATGAGTAATATCCAGTTATCCATATTTGAATTTTCTAACATGTTGACCATATTCTTACTGGCCATAATATAAGAACTCTCTTTCAACTGATATAAGTGGTCGTGGGAGACTCAAGAGAATAATTTACTAAAAAGCACATTATATATACTAGCTATCGATCAAGGATGTAGATTTATTTATTTATTTATTAATTTTTTTTTTTTGGTGAAGGTAGGAACTAGAAAATTACATTAACAATAAAGTAACAAAAGACTAAGACAGGCACCTGGGATTATGGCAGTGGAGATAATTTCCGCTAACCCAATTGGCATCGGGAAACATTCTTTTTAATACTCCTCCAGCAGTTTTCTTCCCATTCACAGGAAGTGTTGCTGCAACAAATATGTATTGCTTACTGCGTTCATATATTTTTCTAACCCGCCTCCAGTCTTTTCTGTTTGTAAACCCAGATTTGGTTTCTGTGTTCTCAAAATTGGAATTCTCATCAGTATCTTCGTCTTCTTTCGCATTGGAATCTGTTCGTGGGTAATCTTCATCTTCCGTATCCGTGACTTTCAGGGCATCAGAATTCAAATCTTGTTCACAGGAATCTGCGCTTCTCGTGCGAGATAACTGCTTCTCGTCAAATCGAAGCATGTTTATGAGACGAATTACTTGATTCTGAAAACTTCCACAAAGAAGCAAGTCTGCTTCGTCAAAAACCTAGAAGTTAATGGATTTAGATGATTAAGATAGAGATTTGAGATACATTGACAAAGCTAAATCAATTTATTATTATTATTTTTTTTCAATTGAATAGAAAATACCACATATTTGACACCGTGTATGAAGTCAGCGCGTCTACATTGTTCTGTGTCGGTTGCATAAAGGTAATTCAGAAGTGCAACTGGCGTTGAAACTATTATATCTGGTTCTTTAAATGGCAAGCCCTGCAGTGTAATTACTCATCCATAAGAAACACAAAATGATGAAATTCCACCACTAGACACAAGGGACTAATTGTTCGATCAACAACAAAATTAGTACTCATATTCAAGTACCTGGCGGCCACAAATAGCGGCAACTCTGAGAAGTGGTTCACCGGTATCACCACAGAGGGAGTTAGCCATACGAACCACTTGCTCACACAGCATTACATTTGGGCAGAGTACAAGGGAAAGCTGGCGATGCTTCTTCAGTTTTTGATCATCTAAATCACTTTCTGAAACAGCTGACATCCTACATAGCTTATCTATAAGAGGAATCAAGTACCCATGAGTCTTGCCACTACCTGTCTCTGCTGCGACCACCACATCGGTTCCTGAAAGTATGCTTGGTATGCAGACAGCCTGAATTATATTAACACATGAGCGTCTCTCACCACGATTACGATTAACTATTTCCTCTAAACTTCAAAATTATAACTACAAATCACATTGATAAGATACTTTAAGTTGGAATTCGGATCATTCAAATTCTACTTTGTTCACAGATTCACTAACAAGAAAACAAAAGATACAGAAAACGACAACAAAAATTATATCAATCACATTTTCTCACTGACGTAAGAAATTAAAACGCAATCTCCAATAACAAATATTCCAATTTTAGAAAATAAAAATATTTACCATTACATATGATTAATAGAAAACAAAGTGAAAAACATTAAGCACCTGAACCAAGGAAGGTCTATGGAGCCCAACATTAGACAAAGCCCGAGAGATACCATCCGAAACACCAAGAGACGCCCACGAAACGCTTTCTTCCGCAAAGAAGGTGTCAGCATCGCTTCTTTTTCTATCGTCGGCGATGGCCGCGGCGGTCCCGAATGTTCGAAATTTATTGCTGTTTGGAGAGTAAGAATTGCCACGAGTGGTGAAAGACCAGGTTGTGAGTATCAGTAACGAGTGATTTCTCGTAAAGGGTATGTGAAACTTTGGAGGAGATGAAGTTTTGCAAGCACTGAGCATTGAAATTGAACGCTGCAGCATCATTTTGTGTTGATATGGGTTTTACGAGCGGAAACTGGGAGGTTTTGCTGGTCGGATGTGAGCCGGGCTGCTTATCTGATCCGGTTCGAAATGGGCTACCATGTTTGCCTAAGTCAAAACTTAAAATGTTTGCTTATTTATGTAAATTTTAAAATAGTCATTTCTCCATGGAAATTTCTATCCTTTGCCTTTTACCGTAATTCAACTTGGTAGTTTCAATTCTCGTCAATGGACTTTAGAAGTCATCTACTGATATTTTTCACCCAAATTATTCTAAATAACGTTAAAGATGTCTAAATACGTCGTATGTAATTCAATAATTATCTCAAACTTTTGCAATCGAAAATGCTGCAATCCCTCTAAGAAGTTGGCAACGAAGGGAAACTCAGGCATAACTACTTAGTAGATCAATCAAACAAATCACAACACCAACCAAAAACGATCTTGCTCAAGTAAATATGAATTAATTTAGAATATGGAAATGTGAATAATTTATGAGATCAATCATGAATTATTTGATGATATATACTACTTCACAACTTCATAAGGTCGATGCATATTTTTTTACCTCAAATATCTTCATTTGGGTAATATATTTATTACTTGTTTGGAAGGTGAAGTTTATTACATTGGACAATACATAAAAAAAATAATAATAAATAAATGATAAGTCAATTTTAGTCGTAGTGTCCGATCTTGATTAATACTGCGTACAAAACATAAAATGAAGAGGAATATAACACAAGTTCAGTTCACATTTCTCTATTGATATTAATGCCCCTCCAATTTGGAATCAAAGCCATCTGCCAAATCATAGGAGGCATTAACCCAAATATTTTTATGAAGGAAATAATAAGACTTTTTCATAGTAAAAGGACAGCATTATTAAGAGCAATAGCGTACCAAAGGTGACAGTAACACATCGTCATTGTCCAATCCAACATGATAAACGAGAAAAATCAAATGGGGTGCCTAACTCAGACCGGTTCAATATATGGCATTATCTAACTCCCTCCTCGAACTATAGGAGGCAAGAGCTAGTATTTATGCCACTGAATTTCAATATACACTGCTGTTTTAACTTACTGAGAGGCAATATACTAAAGCCAAACAGCTCGGCCAGCAGCAGATTTTAATTTCTTGACTTCAATCATTCATGCATACATATCAACTCGAACCAAAAACAGGCTTTCATTCAATACAAAGCCACCGAATAATTTACATGGAAAAAGAAAGTAACAAAGCATATCCTTACCAACTGTAATTTCTAATTCTCAACAAAAAACAAAATATCAAAATTGGATCAACAAACAAGAGAGATTTCAATCAACCCAATGTATGATTCTCCACAATATCCATAAAGCCCTTTCAAAGCTTTCTGTCACGAGAGCCTAGTTTCGTTACACCCGAACAAACCAGAACCGTGCGGCCTTAACGTTCTACAATTCCCGCACCTCATGAGAAAACCTTAAGTCAGCCTTTTCACGTTCACAAATAATTTAACCAATGAGGCTAAATTATAACCACGTTGAGAAGAGAATTTTGAAGTAAGTAATATATGGAAAACAAGTAAGTATGGGGAAACTTTCTTTGTATAAATGAAAGGAAAAACTTTACAATCTCTCTAATGAATAAACTCACTCAACTCTACATTCTCTACCCTCTACTACATCTACTACATACCATTTACAAATGAGACTACATCTCTATTTATAGAAAAACTAAACCTCCTTAACATTCCACTTTACAACTCGTGCTTAGTTGTCGCCACCTTGTGCTTAGTTGTCGCCAACTCGTGCTTAGCTTGCATACAACTCGCGCCTAGCTTGCACGTTGATAATATCTTTGCCAACTCGCGCTTAGCTTGCATACAACTCGCGCTTAGCTTGCAAGTGGCACACAAGTGGACAAGTTGTGCAAGTTGCCCACTTGCATTCTCAAAATATCCGGCTGCAGGTTCATGTATTTTACCTCCCAAAATGGTCGGGTCGGGACTTAGAAAAACCTCATTAATGCCCTGGAAAACTGCATAATTTAGGCAGCCTGCATTCTGCCCCAAAACAATCTATTTGCGTCCCCAGCCTGAGTCTGCCTGCATCATTTGTCGAATCTGCCTGCGTCCCCTATCGCAAGTTGTTCCGTCCTGCTGAAGCGTGCTGTCCACGCTGTATTGCGGCCGCTACCGGGACGGATCGAACGCGACCGCGTGGGGTAAGTTACTCCCCCACTGAATTTGGTGACGCACTCATCGCCTTGTACAGCCGAAACTTAGACCTTATTTGCCATAAGTCTATCTCATTTTCTCACCTTGTGCCATGACATTCCCGTGTCATGCCAAGCCTTAAGTCATGATATTGCGATCCGTGACATTTCGCTGCAGCTTCAAGCACAATATAGTTTGTGAAGTATGAACCCTTCCCTGCAAATGACAAAATAGTGAATGAAATTAGATTTGATAGATTGAATGTGCAATCAAGCCATAATAGCATGCTTAGAAATTCACTGTTTGCCTGATGGGCAGGAGGCATAAAGGCAACATAAGGCTAAAGAAAGATCTAATAAGGGTACCACAAATAGAAAAGCAACTAAATAAATACTTAATGTGCTCATGGTGATTACCATAATCTACTTTGGCTTCTAGAACTCCAGTGCAGTAAATACAAATTTCTTAATTTTTTTTTTCCATCTTTCTTTTAAGAGAGTAGAAGTTTTCTCTACCCTTTTTTGGGGTGGGGTGGGGAAGATACAACAATATTATTCTGGGTGCTAAGCAAGATTAGAGAGTCCAAAAATGCGGAGATCAACCTGTTATGCAACAAGATTCTAGAGGTTATACTTGGATGCCACTAGCGCCGGTCAGTTTTCCCAGTGGACCGCTTCCCAGAGAACAAGTGCTTTGGTCTGAGAGTAGGAATGACTCTATCTGCCTCTCCCTTGCGAGCATCTTTGTTCCTCTTCTTGTGAGATTTTTCTGCCAGTTTTACAACCTTCTTCTTTTGAGCAAAATCTTTCAAGCCCTCTCCAGGAACCACTTCATATGGTGGCTGTGATTTTGACCTCGACCTGAACCGCAGCTTCTTATTTGGTTGGTTACCATCCACATCCATATCATCAGTACCATTTTGATCACCCCTCTCAATTGATCTCTCCCTCTTACGACCCCTAGATTTGATACGAGCACGGTTGATTGCCAGAGTTGGATCAAGTCCCAAAGTTGATAGCTATCTTCCCATTCTTTCTGACGTAAACTGTTTGTCTTTATTGAATTTTCTGGGTATAGTTGGTCGGCTCTCAGCAGTGCTCTTCTTCATCCTGTGCTGTTGAATGAGTAAGCTTTTCTTCTTTCTAATTGCTACCAGTGCCTCTTGCTCTTCAGGGGTCAGTTCAGCCCCGTCCATCTCAAATTCATCATCTGCTTCGTGTTCTTGGCGCATACCTTCTTCTCTCTCCAATTCTTCAAGCCTTTGTAATATATCAGGGTAACGAAATCGTATGCATTGTGCCCATCAAGAATTTCAGGCATGATGTCTTCTTTCCATTCATCATTTGCTAAAATATAATGCTTTCTCAAGCTTGCAGAGTATACACCTGCACCTCCATTCTCATTCTCCAGATCCTTCTCCAGCTTCTTCTGTTTCTCTGCAGCTTACTCTGCTTTCTTGGCTTTAGCTTCTAAGACAGCCTCAGGTATACAGGGTGGCCTTTCCTTCTGGTCACGTGGTTTAGGCATTGCAACATGGAAGCGGTTCAGGCAATCATTCAACTTTTTCGACTTCATTTTTAATTCCACCCTCTGATCCAACAGCCTCTCACAAGCTGCATTCTTCACCTCAATAACACCCTCCTCAATCAAAGTACTCATAGTCAAGAGCACACCCTCGTCGTTTGTTGGCTCGCCCCCTTGTCCTATCAAAGTTTTCATAGCTTCTGATTTCATCTCCATGACCAGCTTCATATCATCTTTGGAGATCCCTTCCAGTGCCTGTAAGTCAGTCTTGTTGCAGACTATAGTCAATGGTTTGTTCATGAATAATGACTTGATGCTGTGGAAAAGAGCCGCCTGCTGCGCAATGCTGTACCCACAAGATCCAGAAATATCAAGGAAAAACAACACTGCAGCTCTTAAATGGGCAAGAGCAGTAATGCTGCACATTTCAATGATATTACGATCCTCAAATGGCCTGTCCAAAATCCCTGGAGTATCAATCACTTGGTAACGTAGATATTTGTAGTCAGTGTGACCAACAAACAGCGATTTTGTGGTAAAAGCATAAGGCTGTCCATCCACATTTGCCCTTGTAATTTTGTTAATAAACGAGCTCTTGCCAACATTGGGGTACCCACAAATCAAGATTGTCCGTGTATTTGGATCAATGGAAGGAAGCCTCGCCATGTGTTGTCTTATCTGTTCAAGATAAGCCAAACTAGGGCTAACTCGTTTAATCACAGTACACATACGGCCTAGAGCAGCAACCTTCAAGGACTTGCATCTATATAGAGAATCTCCGTACTTCAACAATTTCACATAGTCCTTTGCAATCTTACCAATCAGGTTCCTAGCAGTATTGATTTGGCCTAGAGCAAGCTTGTAATGGTCTTTGTTGTACAGAACATGGAGGAGGTCGCCGTAGAAAGGATGGATATCATCAAGCCAAGGAAACTCCTCAATAATGGTGGAGAGCTTATCATGAAAGTTTTGTTGTGTATACTTACTTTGCGCATGTAAAACTGGCGGATACGTGAGATAGCATATCCCTTATGAACAACAGTCGGTGTTTGACGTTGTGTGCGGGAGAGAATGATATCAATAAAGTCCTTTCCAGTGGGAACCACTGTAATCTTTTTAAAATTGTATTGAACCATGTCTTAGCCTTTGTTTATCACTGCGAAAGATATAAATGTCAAAATTTAGTACACAAGGAAATGCATAGCAATAACAAGCTATCCAAAACAATACAAACAAAAAAATAAAAATAATCAGCCATTCTAGTTGTTCACAGCCATACATAAATGTTGGTATTAAAATATTCTATTTGGCGGTTGGAACACTGGTAGTAATAACTGTTAATATTAAATTTTCAATCATGCTAAGAATCAAGAATCACCAAATAATAAACTAATAAACCAAATTCATACCTGTGGAAGTCATTGTTGATATGAATTATAGTTGTAATAGTAGACAAGATCTTCCCCTCCTTGCTCCTCACAAAAATATTAGCTATCAATGGGGCAAGCTAATGAAAACACATATGGAGAGGAGAGGGGACCTAGCCTTTATATAGGAAATAATTGAGTCGTCCCATTACGACTAGAATTCTAATTAGAGTTTATTTCCGGCCCACATACTTTAAATTACCATATCAAATTAATTACAACCCGTAAGGTATAAAATACCCAATTGATCACTTAATAAATTTGGTCCAAATACAATTATCATTATGAGCCATATATCTAACCCGTAAAATTTTGCAATCGAATGTGAAGCCCACATATGGAATTATTAATTATTCCAACATTCTCCCACTTGGACAAACATTTGATTGCCATAACAAAGTTTTAACACCCGGGTTAGACTACATAGGTGGCCACAAAAGTATAGCTCCAATGATGACACCTTACGTTACATGATCCGGTCCAACAAGAATATTAACACCGAATATGGAAGTCATTACACCAATTTAAGAGATGTAAGACCATTCCACAGCTACAATTGTCAACATCCTTATCGACATGGATCCCCATCCTCCAACCAATGTGGTAGTATGTGGTATGAACTTAGCACCAAATGTGATCAGAAACTGTGCTAACTCATATCGGTCCTCATAATGGTTTGAATCAAAATAAAGCCACATGTCTCCAAAAGAGACTCATTTTTATGTCTTTCAAGATATCAATAATATAAAAAGACATAAGTCAAATGCATGCTTAAAATAGTTCATGAATAGGGGAAAAATTATTTTATTATCAGAAGGGGCTGTACCCGAAAACATATGGGTTGCCTACGTACCCCGTAAAGGGATCAAACCCAAAACGTAGTTCTTTTCATAAATAACTCCCACTAACCAAAAATATCAAATGTTTCCACAATATCCATATTAGTAACATGTGTCTTAAAGACTTTTGGAGCGAGTCCCTTAGTCAAGGGATCAGCAACCATCGCCTCTGTATTGATATGCTCTATTTTCGTCTGCCCTTCTTTGACTCTGTCTCTAACAACCAAATATTTGATGTCAATATGTTTTGATCCACCAGAACTTTTATTATTCTTTGAAAAGAATACTGCTGCACTGTTATCATAGTAGATAGTGATCGATCTTGAGATGGAATCAACAACTTTCAAGCCAGAGATAAAATTTCTTAACCAAACGGCTTGGAATGTAGCCCTATAACATGCCATAAATTCAGCTTGTATAGTAGAAGACGCTACTAAAGTCTGTTTAACACTTTTCCAAGAAATGGCACCACCAGCTAATGTAAAAATATAACCTGAGGTTGATTTCAAGTCATCTTGACATCCAGCAAAATCAGAATCTGAATATCCTACCACCTCAAGATGATTTGTACGCTGGAATGTAAGCATATAACTTTCAGTTTTCTTCAAATATCTCGTAACTTTCTTAGCTGCTTTCCAATACTCTTGTCCTGGATTAGACTGAAATCTGCTAAGGACACTTACTGCGTAGGCTATATCCGGTCTAGTGCAAACTTGAGCATACATCAAACTTCCCACAGCACTAGCATATGGGATCATCTTCATAGACTCCCTTTCCAACTCATTCCTTGGACATTGAGTTTTGTTAAACTTATCTCCTTTTATGATAGGTACATCACCAGGAGCACAATTCTGCATATTAAACCTTTCTAGAACACGTCGTATATAAGCTTTCTGAGAAAGTCCCAATAAACCACGATTTCTATCACGATGTATTTCAATGCCAAGTACATAGGAAGCTTCTCCAAGATCTTTCATCTCAAAATTACCAGACAACATTTTCTTTGTCTCATGAAGCAGCCCTAAGTTACTGCTAGCAAGTAGAATGTCATCAACAGACAATACAAGGAAAATAAAATTTCTCCCACTGGTTTTAAGATAAATGCACTGATCAATAGTATTTTCAACAAAACCTAGAGATGTCACAACCTCATCAAACTTCAAATACCACTGTCGAGATGCTTGCTTGAGACCATATAAGGATTTGTTTAACTTACACACCAAGTTTTCTTTTCCTTTTACAACAAAACCTTCAGGTTGTTTCATATAAACCATTTCAGAAAGATCTCTATTCAAAAATGCTGTCTTAACATCCATTTGATGAAGCTCCAAATTGTAGTGTGCCACAAGAGCCATGATAATTCGAAAAGAATCTTTCGACGAAACAGGGGAGAAGGTTTCAACATAATCAATGCCCTCTCACTGAGTGAAGCCTTTTGCAACCAATCTTGCTTTCTTTCGTTCAACATTTCCTTTTGAATCTAATTTACTTTTGAAGATCCACTTGTTATCTATAGCCTTAGCATCTGGAGGAAGTTCAACAAGATCCCAAACTTTATTCTTTTCCATGGAATTCATTTCATTTTCCATGGCAGCTATCCATTTATCTGCCTCAAGACTTGTTAATGCTTGATTATAAGTTACAGGATCAACAATATGCCCGATATTAAAATTGCTCTCCAATAAATATGTAACATAATCACTGGGCAATGCAGATCTTCTTTCCCTTTGTGATCTCCTAACTTGTGGCTCAGGAACTGATTCAATCATTGTTTGAGGAATTGGAGATTCCTCCTGGTTCCTCGGTTCTTCATTAACAACTTCAATTAGTTGGGAACCAACTCTTTCCTGTATGATGGGAACTGGAACAACAACTTGATTAGGTTCAACAAGAATTTCTCTCAACGTGGAACTCCCACTATCTCCAAAATCGTTCTCAAAAAATTTAGCAGTAATGGACTTCACAATTCTAGTGCCGCGATTTGGACAGTAAAACTTATATCCCTTTGATCTATCCGGATACCCAATAAAGTAGCCAGGAGTTGATTTAGGGTCTAATTTCTTTTCAAATGGATTATAAATCCTAACTTCAGCTGGACATCCCCAAACTTTAAAGTGAGCCATACTTGGCTTACGTCCTGTCCATAATTCAAACGGTGTCTTTACAACAGCTTTACTTGAAACTCTGTTCAAAATATACATAGCTGTTTTCAAGGCTTCACCCCACAAATATTCAGGCAAATTTGTTCTACTCATCATACTTCTAACCATATCTTTTAGAGTTCGATTACGTCTTTCAGAAACACCATTCTGCTCAGGTGTCCCTGGCATGGTGTATTGAGGCACTATTCCACACTCTTGTAAAAATTTTGCAAAATCACCCATATTTTGACCAGACTCGTCATATTTCCCATAGTACTCACCACCTCGGTCAGATCTTACAACTTTGATATTTTTCCCACATTGTTTCTCTACTTCCAGTTTGAAAACTTTGAATTTCTCAAGTGCATGTGATTTGTCGTTAATCAAATAAACATATCCATATCGTGAGAAATCATCAATGAAAGTTATGAAATATTTATTCTCACATATAGTGGAAAGCAAAGGTCCACTGATATCAGTGTGAATTAAGTCCAAAATTCCATTACTCCTAGTCGAACCCTTCCTCGTAGACTTAGTTAACTTTCCTCTTATACAATCTATACAGGTGTCAAAATTGGAGAAGTCTAAGGAAGGAAGTATCTCATCTTTTACTAATCTTTCCATTCTATCCTTAGAAATATGACCCAATCGCTTATGCCACAATATAGAGGATGATTCACGAATTAAAGCCATTTTCTTTGATACATTTGTAACACACGAGACATCACAAAAAGAAGCCAAAGATAATTTATATAAACCATCACATAAAATGTCATTTCCAATCAAACGAGAATCATTAAATAACTTAACCATTCCATTACCAAAATTAAATGTAAAACCACAAGCATCAAGTTTTGGTATAGAAATTAAATTCCGTCTCATCTGCGGTACATAAACTGTATTTTCCAAAACAAGATAAAAACCAGACTCTAAAGTTAACTTCAGTACTCCTATGAATTCAACCTTCACTTGGAATCCATTTGCAAGGCTCAAGCTTACTTCATTCTCACTTGGCCTCCGTTTGCTTATGAACCCCTGCAAGGAATTCGCAATATGAATACTAGCTCCCGAGTCTAACCACCAAGAATTCAAAAGTACATCTACTAAAGAAGACTCAAAACAAACTAAGGCCAAGGGAATACCTGAAGAACTCTTCTTCTTTTCCAACCAAGTCTTGAACTAAAAACAGTCTTTCTGCCAGTGACCCTTCTTTTTACAGAACTTGCATTGATCATTTTTCTTTATAACTAGTTTGGGACCACTAAGATTTTTATTCTGCTGACTTCGGTGGGACTTATTACCCTTACGAAACTTAGGTTTATGATTATGAGAAGGCCCCTTATTCTGTGATGGCTGAAAAGCTAATTGTACAGTTTCAACAGTTTCACGGCGCATCCTATACTCTTCTTGGGCACACACTGCTATGAGGTCATTCAAATTCCACTTATCCCGCTGAGCATTATAAGCAACCTTAAGCTGATTAAACTTGCTAGGAAGGTTATTCAAAACATGATAGACCAGGAAAGGCTCCGCAATGGGAATGTCAAGAGCCTTTAACTTAGATGATATATTTATCATTTTCATGACATGCTTCCTAACACCACTTGTACCGTCATATTTCATGCTCATAAATTTATCCATCAAATCCCCAGTTTCGGCTTTATCAGACTCAATAAATTTTTCTCCTATGGCATCCATAACACTTTTGGCATTTTCATTATCAGGGATGGCACTTAGAATGGAATCAGATATCGATCGCTTAATGATTTTCAAACAGAGTTTGTTAGCCCTTTTCCACTTTTCATGCTCGGCTACATATTCAACGGTACTTTTATCTGTGGGTTTTTCAAGCTTTTTCTCCATTGCAAAATCCAAGCCAAAAAGACCAAGTGCTATTTGTACATCTCGTTTCCATCTCACATAGTTATTCCCAGTCAAAATTTCAATAGCAGACAATTGATTCGAAAGAGATGAGGCATTATAAACTGTGGAAACATAAAATATCACTTTTAATATCATCCAAACTTAATGCATGCAATCAAATGGATGATGAAATATCCAACCAATTAATATGGGCTATTAATTAGATAATCCGTAATTTAAATCGAAAGATATAAATTTTATTACGGTAAGAGTCTAGATGCATCATCATAAAGTCACCTTTGGGTCGACAATACAACATGCTATAAGATACTCTTAAAACACATCATGTAGCTAGTTAGCAAAATCACATTGGTTTTCGAAATTTCAACACCTTTGGGCAGAAGGAAATTTCTAAACCAAAATAAGCCGTTAACTTTTTCATGCCATTTTTCAAAAATATTACATATAATAACACCTTTGGGCAAGATATTATATGCAATAAATCAAAAGTTGTTGGGCAAAAATATATGTATTTTTATTGTAGAGAAAATCGAATAAATAATAATGAGTGTGCTACTTTGACAGCTACCACCCATTTTTATTTCAAAATATTTCTCTTAGTGGGAAAACAAGAATCGTCGCAAGGCCCATAGAAAAAGTTCAATCACAAAATAATAATCATGGAACAATTATAATCATTAATCGATGAATGGAAAAATTCACATGTGATTGAGAACTAAAATTGGCAACAAAATTTTAATATATAAAAGTCGAAATTTAAACGAACAAATAATAACAACAATAATTATACATTTAACGAAAATATAAAAGTTGTCAATTATTATTATTATTTTAAATGGGTCAATTTTAAATAAAATTTTAATTTGGATCAAAATTGACCCTTTCCTTTAATTGTGGGTAGGGGCTTGCAATTTTCAAAAATTGCACACCATGCCCCCGTCCCCAAACAGCCATAACTAGCACTGTGTTATGGTCCCTCCAGAGAACCAATATTAGGCAAATAGATGCTGTTCAATTCACTCATGTTGCCCAACTTTTTATTTGTTTCAACAGATAAATTTCCACTTCATTCCTTTATGACAATTTAATTTCTCTTGCCTAACGATTAGTAGATTCAACAGATTATTTTTCTCTTCATTCCTGAATTATTTAGTTATATCATAGAAACTGCATGCTTTGGTCCATAATTACTTTAACACAGTTAATCACTTAGTAAAAAGCAAATCAGCATGAAACAAAATTTCAAATCCATGATAAAGAATGCAATGTAATCAACAAAAGTACAATGAGAGGTGAGAAGTGAAAGTAGGGGACCGTGAGGATTCTGAAGATTTCCTCATTCACGAAAATCGGAAAAAAAAAATTACATGAATAGAAGTTAGGTCTTAATTGAGAGAATACAGTAAAAAGGGAAAATAATAATGGAATTGTGGAGTTGGTGAGGAAGAGAAGAACCAATTTTCTCAAATTTCTGAAAACAAGAACAATATGATAAATCAAGAAAACGAGACAGAATATTGTTTTACGAGGGATTATGATCTCAGCATGAAGGCTCTGATACCAATTGTTAATATTAAATTTTCAATCATGCTAAGAATCAAGAATCACCAAATAATAAACTAATAAACCAAATTCATACCTGCGGAAACCATTGTTGATATGAATTATAGTTGTAATAGTAGACACGATCTTCCCCTCCTTGCTTCTCACAAAAGTATTAGCTATCAATGGGGCAAGCTAATGAAAACACATATGGAGAGGAGAGGGGACCTAGCCTTTATATAGGAAATAATTGAGTCGTTCCATTACGATTAGAATTCTAATTAGAGTTTATTTTCGGCCCACATACTTTAAATTACCACATCAAATTAATTACAACCCGTAAGGTGTAAATGGCCCAATTGACCACTTAATAAATTTGGCCCAAACACAATTATCATTATGAGTCATATATCTAACCCGTAAAATTTTGCAATCGAATGTGAAGCCCACATATGAAATTATTAATTATTCCAACAATAACAACACTTTGCTGAAATGTAATACAACACCACTTGCAATGGTAATTGGTTGCATTTTTCCACTCAACGGTGAGTTCCTACGTAAATCCCTCTAAGGAATTGTCAATTCGGTGTCTGAAGAAGTTGTTACTTTCATAAAAACTGTATAAAAAATTATTAAATTCAGATTATCTTTCCGAAAAGCAAAACAAATGCAAGAAAGAACCTCCAAGCTATTGGATTTGGATCCTGAAACTTTAATTACATTCAAAGAATAAAATCACACAAAGGTAAAAGAAAAGTAAGAGAAAATAAAAATAAAATCACGTGATTGAATTGATACTTGGAGAACGGCAGGGAAGTCCCTGACTAGACTAAGACTTCTATTGCAAATTTGCCTCCAAAACTAATTTTATCCTTTAACCTCCATTATTTTAGAACCGTAGTCCCCATGGCCCATTTTGCCTCCCCCCAAACCCCATCCCTCTGTGCCCCTACTGCACTAAATCTATACTGGAAAACTTGGAAATATCCTAAAGTGCTATCACTTTTCCTCATCCAGCAACAATTACCGAGTTTCGATGCTACAATATTTCCACTCTTTTCTTGTGGGTATAAACTACAAATCACTCAATTCCAAAGAAACAGTAGTTAAAAAAAAAATGAAATGAAAATACATGAATCCCTCTCAAGTAGAGGCGGAAACACCTAGGGTCTAGTGGGGGCAACTGCCTCAACTGGATTTTGGTCCCAGGTATTTCACCTATCAATAAAGTTATTTGTACATCTAGGGTTGACATTCCGGAAGATACTTCCTCACAAGAGGAGGGTTCGCAATTATTTTATTATGTGTGGGCTCCCCCCCTCTTGTGATGGGAGTGTCATCTAGGATGTCAACCCCGGATATACAAATAGTAAGATCATTCGCCTATTTCGCTTGAGGCGAGGTTAGTTTTTTAAAGCAAGGAGATCATAATAAATAACCGCGTCAAAAATTCAGGACAGAGGTTGTCGAAAATATCATTGTTGCTAGAGGAAGATAGCCATCAACAATCAACAATTTTAAAAATAAATAAATTATACGGAGTTTTCTTGAAATTAAATCATTCACAACAATAGGATTGAGTGCCATTTCAACATAAAAGCCCGTTTTACTCTTATCAAAATTCCAATACTACCTTCCAACTTTGTTGATGAAGAAATTGAGTAGAAATCACTGCTACACAAGATGAATTGGTGCCAATGGGTGATGAATATGTTCCCTTTTTGCCTCCCCCCAGTTTTAGCTAATTCCGTGGTTGCTCTATGAACATGACGCCTAGGTTATAGTTGGATTAATGCATGACTTTTTGTTGGGCTTTAGGTCTGGTGCTTGTTAGATTTTTTGAGCATTGTTTAAAGGGAAAATTTCATATTCCAACTGGTAAGAAATATACAACTCAAATTTAAGAAATATAGTTTGATATTTCAAATCTCTGAGAATGTAACCTATATATATATATAGAAGGAGAGACAGGGAGATCGGAGAGAGAGAAACGTTACAATCATTCCCTGAAATCAAACTTCAGTTTCCTTATGTGATCGGACTCTTTAATATATAGAATTTTAAACGTAAAATCATCACCATTTTCAAGGTCACAGTTTTTTTTTGTCACAATTAGCTATTTAATTAGTCAAGAATTAGTTTTTAATCACAACTTATCAAATTATTGGTCGCAACTTATTTCTTGATCACAAATCGAAAATCTTATAGATCACAGAATATTTTTTGTCACGAATTCAAGATTTTATAGGCCATAGATTATTTATCGGTCACAGATTCAGAATTTTTATTGGTCACAACTTATTTACTCATTGCAAATTATTTTATTAGTTGGACATTATTAATGTTTCAGTTTCAAGTTCATCAATTGTGACCATTCCACTTGGACCTGCCAAGCTATATATCATAGGGAAAAAAATCATTTGGAATCATTTATAAACAGATAATGGACGACAGACGCCAAGTCAACGCCACCGCACACCAACACCACAGTCACTGCTGCACACCAACACCACAGATTGGTCGGTGACGCTGCAACAAACTCCATCACAGATCGACGCTATGAATGGTTAGCTCAGTGCCATATTTGATTTCTGATCTTAGATTTCTAGGTGATTAGTTCATTATCAATTGGGGCGACTAGGGAGGGCGATCTGAGAAAAGACGAAGAGGGAAAGAAAAAACGGCAAGAGAAATAATGGAGAGAGAAAGAGATTGGAGGCGATATGAGAGAAGAAGAAGAGAGAGAGAGAAAATGGCAGGAGAAATAATGGAGAGAGAAGGAGATTGAAAAGAGAATAAATTTGTGTGGGAGAGAGAGAAAATGTGTAGAGGGAGAGAGAATTAGATTGGATAGAGAATGAGATTGAAGAGAGATGAAATATTTCTGACTTTTGAAATATGAAACACCTCACCTTCAAAAGTATGGTGGAGTGTAATTTCCACTTGTTTAAATGGTTTAAAAATCATTCAAAATTGACGTAGTATAATTTTGAGCAGTTCTATCGATCCATCAAATCAATAATTATTTACTATTTCTTATATTCTTTTCTAAATTTATCCTTTATAAACTAATTATTTTTAACCAACAAATTTTGTATAAAATTAACTTATAAATAAAAATATATTAATTAAAAAATTATTTATAAACAAAAAAATTATAAAATAAAATTTAATTTTGTCTAAAAAATTTTTTATAAAGTAAAAATACTATAAATAAAACAAAATATTCACTTAAAATATAAAAAAAAAGAATTATAAATAAAAAAATCACTTATC